ATCATTTCAGATCTCTGTCCATTTGGCTCTTAGTCCATTCCTTCACAGCCTGTTGATCCATCTTTCTGTCTAGGTGCTTGTTTATCGGATTGTCCACACGTCTTTCAGTCCATCCTTCATGATATGTAAACTGTGTAGGAACCCTGCCTTTGTTGCCTCCTGTCGGAAATCTTTTTTAAAGCTGTTTAAACTTCCTTATTATTGCTCACTTGTTGTTTTTAATTCCTTCTTAGCTCCAGTTAAGCTTTCCTTCTCCTCTATCTCTATATTCTCTCTGTGCAAAGGAGGGGGCCACAGAAAGATCACCATAATAATAGAGGATCCAGTTGCAGGTTGGCAGTGCGGTTTACCTGTACTTCCATCACTTCATCCCTTCCTTTGTTTTTTTTTTTATGTAGTTGTTTTGTTTCTTGCATGTTTATGAACAGCACCCCTCTCATTTCCAGTATTATGCTCGTCTCATCGTTTGTTCCTCAGGAGCTAATAGATTAGCTTAAATGCACGACACAGATAGTTGCCTCCATTGAGGCATCACTTTTGTTTATTCAAGCATTTTGTTTCCTTTTTTCTTTGTCCCAGCATTTCACTGTAAACATTACTTTAAAAGTTGTTTTGTTTTGCACATGTTTTCATGCTTGACATGAAGAGACAAGTACATTTTGTATTCAAAACATGTTACTCCATCGTCTTTTACTGTCTTAATGACATGGTAACCTTTACTGAGTGTCAAACAGATATTGGAACAGATTTGTTTTTTTTTTCAAGTTTAAATATATATAATTGGCACAACATTTCCTTCAAATGTTTACAAAAACCCAAGTCATCCAGCCATCCAATGCAGTTTATTTTTTTGCAGGTTAAGTGAATGGTAAATAGCTGGTGAAATGCAGTTAATAAGAACTGACATTGCTGATATTTGTATTATATTTGGTGTAAAAAGCTGGTTTGTAGATACGAATTCAAGACTTTTGTGGAGAATATGGTCTCGGGTGGGATTTTTGACTGACTGTTCCACATAAATTGTCTTCACATCTTGAAGGACCTGAGTCCCTCTCTGACCTTTGACCTTCTGTAGTTTGTAAAGAATTTTTTTGGATAAAAGTGAGATTGCCTGCCAGGGTTACCCTTTTTTACCCTTTTTCTTTGAAACCAGCGGTCTGTTTCAAAAAGCAGATTTACTGAAAACTCTTTTCTAAACCTGACATCAGGGAAACTGAGTTTTCCATTTCACACATAGTTTACCCAACCTCTGTTTCTGTTACCGTAGTAACATTCTCCCCAGAGCTAACTTGGTCGGGAGCAGGTTTTGCTCAGTAAACTGTCCTCTGTCTCCTCTCCCTACAGTCAGTGACGTTGTTTTGCTTCCTGTTTCAGTAAGATATGCCGTAGTTTTCTCTATCATGTTTTCAGTACACGATGAACTACTCAAATAATTTTTTAGATTACACATAAATAGATTAACTCCACTGGGAAAAATTAATAACTTCCAGGTTAGGATTCTATCAGTAAAACCAACATACTGAGTCTACTGGCACAACCTGAAGCCACTCTATGGGACTGATAACTGCTGATGATGATCATTTATTGGGATGGTAACATCAGAAGCTGCTGCAAACTACCACTTTGGAAGACAGAATTAAAATGAGGAGCAACCCCATGAGATGAACAGGTCCTACCTGTTTGAACAATGTTTTTATTCTTCATCTTCACCTGCTGCCAGATAAGTTCACCTAAATAGACACATTGATCCACTACTATTTAAGAAATGAACTCGTAATGTTACCGTGGTTAAAACAGCCTTTGGCGAGCCATTTTGATATGATTAGTTTGCCTGAATATGTATTCCTGATATCTGAAAAAACATTTTCTTTGTCAAAATTACCACTTCAAACAAAATTACATTCTTCACATCTAGAATAAACATTCTGGATAGAAATTAAATTCAGATCCCCATATTCATGTTGTTACTGGTCAGCATTTGTGTTATTTTGACTATGAAGAAATGTATTCAGATCTCATAAATACATATTCAGTCAAGCTGATAAATGTCAGAACGGCTACTTAGAAGATCTAAATATTTCTAGTTATATAAAACGTAATTGTTACTAGTACAATTTAGTTTTTACTTTCTGAAATTCAGTTTCTGCTGCAAAAATGTAGTTTAGAAAATCTATTATTAAATTTCTGTCTAGGAATGGGATTTTGAATAGATATTTTTGTGATCTACAAAGCGCTTTTATAAGATGTTAAAACGGCCTGTTATACTGGACTACATATAAACTTGCGCACTAACTGGAGCAGGAATCTTCTTCTTTTCTATTTTCCTCTCCTTTGCAGCTACAGAGCTATTTTTCTGTCTTTTAAACACATTCTCCATTAATTTGTTTAATTTCTGAATTAAAATCGCTAGTTCCAGTGGGTTGAAACGGACATTTCCTGTTGCCTGTCGTCATGGTGACTCGTCGAATCGGTACTCCACTGATGATGGGTTTTCATTGTTACGCATGTGCTCATCTCTGAGTGGACCCACTTAGAGTTAATTGAGATAACTCACAGCAGCTTTTATGAAACCCAAAACTCAGCCTTCCCAACCTTAGGTTAGATCATTTCAGAGTTGAGGATTTAAGTCTGAGTTTCTTAAAGCTGCTTTGTGAAACGGACTCCTACAGCGTCATTCTGTACATAAGTTATCAATATTGTCCCAGTTTATATCTCCATTTATCGTTCCTTTAATTAGGCGGCTTCTCTCTTCCACGTGCTGCAGGACGGCTCACGCCGTGACGCTTCCTTCTGCTGAATTGGTCTGGTGTTTGTAGGAGGATCTGCAAAACTGTCCCTGCAAACATGGCCCCATCTGGCCAGACTTCACTCTTCCAATACTTCATAAGCTTTTCTAAATCTTTAAACAGGCTTCCACCAATTGTTTTTAGCAGCAAGTGGCCATTGGAGTTGAATGGATTACTTGTTGTTTTCTTTGGAAATCCTCTACCTTCTGCTTCCTGATCTTGCTGAGCCCACTGTGCCAATACTCTTTGGCTTTTGGAAAGACGAAAAACTAAATGTATAACCTCTGTGATAGAATTTGGAAGATAAACTTTATTATGGCTCCAGTGATTCTTCTTGGAACATTAAGAAGTTTGCAGCTGCAGCCTTTATCTTTAGGATGTTTTGCAGCACCAGGAATTTAGCAGAAATACTGTCTTTAAAGGTTGAAAGATTTCAGCTCATTATTTGGCTTTCCACACTCTGGCTCTACGGTACTGTTTTGGTATCAGAGTGAGTTTGCAAGTCCCTGCTTCCTTTATTGTAACAGCTTTAGGACCAAGGTGGCAATTGAGTTTAGGGTTAAGTATGCATTGGTAAAGGTTAGCTTTAGAGGTGTCAGACTTAGAGCATGGAAAGGTCCTCACTACATATAGCAAGACAGGAATTTGTTTGCACATTTGTACTCCTTGCTTATTCCCTCGCCTTTCTACTTCATTACACACAAGTTCAGCTCTCATTTGTCCATAGAAAAAAATATTCTCTGAGGAAAAAACATTTATTTGTTCAATACTCCTTCATACAGGTAATATAACCTCATATGTTTGTTTAAACAACCATTAAAGAGGTCATTGATTTCATGGCTTGTCATCAGTTTTTTTGAGACACGTTTCGTTTAGAAACGCATAGACTTTAGCTGGGAGCTCAGCTCATTTGTTTCTGTTCATCAGAATCGGCGAGCGAAGACTCCAGCATGGCGGAGTACAGCCCCTTCTCACCTCAGCGCAGTGATACCAGCACCCCCAGTTCTCTGTACATGGACTCTTGTGAGTTTTATTTTAAAGAACATTAGCAGTCTCTCCTCTTCCACAAACCGGTTGCATGTTCTCTTAGTTGATCATGTTTCTTTTTTTTTTTTTTTTTTGTAATTTCTGTCAGAAGTTTATAATTGTACAAAAAGAAAACATGGTAGTAAATATATGGGATGTGATTATGTTTCTACAGAGTTGTGCAGATCCAGGTTTTATCTTAAGTTTGTAAGAAACTGCAGTGATTGGAAATAAAATTTCCTGGACTACAATATTCCCATGTTTCTGTTATAAAATAGCAAAACTCTAAAAAATATAAACCACCTGCTCTTGTTTGTTTGGTTTGCTTATTGAAGTAAACTTATGGCTGCTTTGTTTACTTCAGGTGGGCCACAGTACAGAGGCGTACCAGATGGGATGTTCAGGAAACCGTCGAAGGGCCAGAGCCTCATCAGCTACCTGTCAGAGCAGGACTTTGGCAGTTGTGCCGACCTTGAAAAGGTAGAGATTTGGTTCATCTCAGATCCTGGTTTAGCCGTTTGAGAAACGAGCCACACCACACACCTTAGTTTGGGTCCTGATATGTGGGATCAATTCCGTGTTTTTGCAGGAGAACGCTCATTTCAGCATCTCGGAGTCCCTCATCGCCGCCATTGAGCTGATGAAGTACAACATGCTGCGGCGGGAAGAGGCGGGCGTGGAAGAGGAGGGAGACAGCGACTCAGAGATTCAGCAGCTCAAGCAGAAGATCCGTCTGAGGAGGCAGCAGATCCGTCGCAGCCGCCTGCCTCCCTGCATAACCTCCCAGCGCAGTACGCCGAGTTAGATTTAACATGCGTAGAGCTGCCTTTTTATTCTGAACTCATCCAATTATTTACTGTTTTTTATAACAATTAAATGCCGTAACTAGCTTTCAGTAAGGATTAACTTTTACTTTATTTCCTCTCTTTGTTTTCTGGTTTGATTTTACACATAAGCATAAAACATGAGATAAAAGCTGAGAAAAATCTTTCACCCTATAATAAGACTTAGAAGAAAGTCACTACTGATTAGCATTTTTCTCATGATTTCTATAAACTATTTTCTTATGCTCAGATTTCCACTCCAGTGACAGCGGCGGCTCCAGAAGGAGCTCTCACGACTCCTTCCAGGGCCTGTCCGACTCCGGCTCGGTCGAGGAGGTGGAGGAATGTGAACTACAAGGTACAGAGAGCGGGAAAAAAAACAACTTTTTAAATATTATTTTCCAAAAGAAGTTGTTGATCACTTTCATTGATTAGTACAATAATCATAGTATCATTAAATCATGTAGAGGATGTCTTCACCACTGACTGCTGTCAAAGCTCCTAAATTATTACCTTTATCCAGATAAAAGACCTTTTCTTTTAAATTTCTTCTTTAAACATAAAGCCATCATTTGTGTGTTCACAATTCATGACATGTCATTTCATAACGTTATTTGCTGCTCAGCAACCAGCTTTTATCATCCCCCATAAACCTGTAGGTCAGAGTACAAAGGTCACAGAAAACCAGTCTGCAGATTGTGGATTTAAATAGTAACATTTACGCATTCAGAGCTTTTATTGCCAGATGCACCTTTTTATAGCCAGTTTGACTGTATAAACTTGTCATAAAAAATTTGATTGTGAACAGGAAATTCTGCATTGTTGATGTATTAATGCTGGTTTTCTTGGGTGGGTGTCTTATCTGTTCCTTTAACAGGGTGTGTGTCTTCATTGCACTGTGATTTATTAATCATTTACCATGACAGCTCTCTCCTTGTGATTGGCAGTAAAACTAACACCTCTGTAGCCGGTGTTAACGTCTGAGTGTTTGTGGGTGTGCACATGTGGGTGATGGTCGTGCTGAGTGTTAGTTTCTGTCTCTCAGATGGCTGTGAGGGCCAGTCCCTGCTGGCGGTGTCTCAGAACGGCCTCTCCTTGTCACTCGCCTCCCTCTTCTCAGGTATCTGTGGGCGGGGCGGCTTTATGCAACTCTTAACAGAGAGGAAGTTGGTGGTTATGCTCCAAACCAGAAAAGTACCATCTTTAATCTTTACAGCTTTGGCTTGAAGAGTTACTATTAGCCATATAAGTCGATGATTTACAGTGAAACTGGATTATTAACATGCTGCAACTACAAGTTTCTTTGTTCTTTGCTTTTAATGGGATTTTATACAATAGGACAACAATGGACCATACTTTAGTTCTGACATGAAAGTACCATACTTTAGTTCTGACATGAAAGTGGTGCATTGTTTTCAATAAAAAGACAAATCTGAGAAGTTTGACACACTTTTGCATTTTGCACCGGAGAATCAGTAGTTTTAACATCAACCTTTTTTATTCAGCACCAGCTGTACAACTCTATTAGGTGTTTTTGGAAGGCTGTTAAGCAATAATGGCCTATAACAAACTTTAGAAAAGTCTCAGTTCAAACAAAAAGAAAAAAACTCAACAAAGTTAAACCAAACATTAGAAATTGATAAAAAAAAAAATAGATAACGTGCTAACGTGTCACCAAACATGCATCGTTGCTTCTCAAGGCATGGCTGCAGAATGCATTCATGAAACGGCTAATGCATGCATATATCGGCCGACACAAGGCCGGAGGAGCCAGCCACTATATCGGTTTATCTCTAGCCCACTCTTGTGTTCGGTCTACTTGGTTCAACTTCCTAAATATAAATGTGCTTTAAATAATAACAGCGTAGCGACTGAACTATTGGGATCATTTTCCTGTTAGAAAGGGGAGCTTTAATCCCTGGACCATTTTTTTTAAGAGACTTGAGATTTTGTTCCATGACAGCCTTCATCCTAATAGATCTGACCAGTTGTAAAAAAGCATCCCCGTAGCATGATGCTGCCACCACCAACTGAATGCTTTAGGATTGGTGTTTAGGTGGCTGTGCAGCAGCAAACCTCGTTCCACTGGTTTGCTGTATGTATGCCACACTTTTCAGATTTTTGTTTGTTTAAAAATGTAAACTATAAATAATTTTTCTTCAAATTTACGAGTTTTTTTTTCTTTAAAAAAAAAAAAAAAACTAGTTGTGGTTGCAAACATGATTTATGAGTTTTTATTAAAGGTGCTTTAGCTAGGTCATCAAAGCTGTTTTAATTTTGATTAATATTTTATCCGGTTAGCGTTGCAACTAGTTGTGTTTTCAATAACTTTTTCAGTGGCAATATTATGAAAGTACAGGGGGAATTTTATTTAATCTATTCCTTTCATTTAGAATGAGCAAATCTTCCTGCTTTAGAAATAAAGTGCAGCTCATTAGGCTCTAGATTGAAATTTAATCAGCTATAAATGGAAACAAAATATCAGACCTTCACTGTTTTAAGAAAATTGTTTTATTTCTTCCAAAGCAACTGTTTTGATTTTGCCATTGACTTATTGTCTTAAACGTGAGGTTAGTTGCTAAATAAAACTAAATGAACCCAGTTTCCAGTCAATTAGATTAAAATCCTACCCTGACCGTCTGGTTTGGACATGAACCGGCTGCCTTCTCTATCTTCTGAGCTGCACTCTGCTTGGCTGTCTGTGTCGGTGCCTCCAGCTTTGGTGGTGCAGGGAGACTGGTGCGTCTGTACCTGTTTGGTTAAAGCAGCCTGGGGGAGCAGATGAGGGAAACAAGTGGCGTCATGCTTTAACCATAGCTTCATCCATCATCATAATAATCATTTAACCATTTAATCATTCTGTCTTTATTTTGTCATATATACATTCCTGCATACTATCTTTCTATTCATTCAATAAAAGTAAACAATGATCCTGGTATATTTTGCTTCTTATTCTAAAGAAAAATCGCAGAAAGTTACTGATGAAGCAATCAGTGCAAACCAATCTTCCTCTAAGAACAGTTACCCTAATTCAGACAAATCAGTCTCTCCAACTCTGATCATCCAGATTTTTATTTTTTCTGCACAGAAAAACCCCCTCTATTGTTCTGCTAGCTGTCTCCTGCTGCTCAAAGTATTTATTACAGAGTCTCTTTGTAAATAATCTGCTAAGTAACAACAAACTGAATTGTTGATCTTATGATTCAGAGAACCTGAAATGATAAATCCCTTCAGGCAGTCTCCTGTTCTTCCAAACCTGTTCTGCTCATTTCCAGTGGCTTTTTGTTTAAACTTTAGTTCACATGATGTAGAAAAATCGATTACGCCTTTGCTGCATGCCCCTTCCTGAGTTTGTGCAAATTATGCTTACATTTAATAAGAAGTAAGACATTTGTTTCATGTTTTAACTTGTACCTTCTGTAATTTTAATAATAGAAATATGTCTTCTGCCTTTGCTTGCACATTTTTCTTGCTGTTCAGTTATTTTATTGCTACTTTTCAAATCAGAGAAATTTCTTTTTTTGAAGTATACCACACTTTTCAGAATTGTTGGCACCTCTGGTAGAGATCTGTAAACTAGTCTTAGAATAAATGCTTGATAAGGACAGTGACCCCAGGATGAGGCGCTTTGAAGATTTCTCTAATTTTACAGCAATAGTTTAACATTCAGCTAATTGTGGGACTTATTTTTTCTTAACAATCGAGATTATTCCACCACTAAAAGAAGTTAAGTTTATTTTAAGGCTTTTTACGCATGTCTAACAGTGGTGCACTGAAGTTGTGGGACTAGGTGTGAGGTGGACCACAAAGGTTTCTCCACCTGGAAACCATCAGACACCATCTGAAACCATCATACCTCTATTCTCGCTCTATCTTCTAGATGCTGATATAAAGCGCAGCGTGAGCTCCAGTGGCAGGTCCTTCCTGAGCTCAGAGTCCATGTAAGTTATGTTTGTTTCTGTTAATGGATTTTGAAAAGATTTCTAAATCTGGCATTATTATTGAGAATTTTGCACATATTAAGTTTTAACTTCTTTTTATTTTTAGTCCCTAAAGTTTGTTTTTAACATTTTCTTTAATTATTTAAACTTAAAACTATATTTTTTCCCACAGATTTGATCTCTTAAAAAAAAGAAACCAAAAATTTGTTTTTTCTCTGCTTTGTTAATCTGATTGAAGGTTTTCATTACCTCTATTAATTAGAAGTGAACAGAAAAGTGTTAAGCTGTCATCCTTGTTTTTAAGATTTATTTTTACTTCGCTTTACCCATTTTCTTTTTTTTTTCTTAGCTCTCCATCCTTCCTCCAGTCTAACTCAGCCGAGTCGGTAGCTATGGGTTTACTCAGGCAGTTTGAGGGCATGCAGCTTCCTGCAGCTTCAGAGCTTGACTGGCTGGTCCCAGAACACGATGCTCCACAGAAGGTGCAACGTCTCACTATAATCTCAACTAAATCATGATGATCCGTAGACGATCAAATTTCATGCTAGTATTAAAGCATAAAATATGTAAACATGTTCACAACGCTCATATAAACTCTGATCCTGTTGCCTACCAGCTGCTGCCTATCCCCGACTCCTTGCCCATCTCTCCTGATGATGGCGAGCACGCAGATGTCTACAAGTTGAGGATTCGAGTTCGAGGAAACCTCGAGTGGGCGCCGCCGAGACCACAGATTATCTTCAACATCCATCCTCCTCCAAAGTAAGCAAATATAGAAGTCCTTCCTCACTGCAGCCTTTTGTTAAACATTATCTACATGTTCTACCCTTATTATTTTAATAATATGATGAAACACTTTGGGTTTTTACCACATGGTTGAAGAGGAAAATCTTGTGTTTTTCTTAACATTAGCAACATGTGCAGCTGATTTTCAGTACCCCTACCTGGTACTAAATGAGATTTTAACAAACCCAGGGGGAGAAATTGTTCAAATTAAGCTTTTAAAATGTCTGAAGTTACTTTAAACCTCTGTGGCTCATTGTAGGTGCTTTACTTTCTGTCTTTTTTTTTTAAAGATTACATATCAGCTCTGTGTGTTTCCTTATAGGAGGAAGGTTATCGTCGCCAAGCAGAACTACCGCTGTGCTGGCTGTGGCACCAAAATTGACCCAGGTATGACCTGCAGTCGGACAAATAATTAAAACTTTTCTGACATTTATTGAACATTATCTTTAAACCTCTTAATTCCTTGGTTATAAACAATAATTGATGCCTTATTTATGCAGTTTCCATTCCAGAGACGCCACTGTAATTCTCTGATCTGGTAACATAATTTTAGCCCATTTAGTTTCCTCTTAAAAACGTCATCAGAGCAGCATTTAGAATAAATTTAGAGCTGAGCAGAAAGTAGACTCAATCCTCTCTGCACACATCCCTAAATTATGTAAAGATTTGCTTTTAAAAGGGTTCTTATGCCTAAATTCTTCATCTGATTTATTTTACTTTGTCATATTTTTTACATAACGCTTTACAGATTTGTTTTTGATTTCTGATCGCTGATTAAAGCCAATCAGCTTTTTATTTCGCTCTTATTCCATATTATAAAAAAACAAAACAAAAGCTTTTAGGAGTTTGCAGATTAAACTGTTTGTTTTTCCGCTGTCTTCCTTCTCAGACTACATCAAGCGGCTACGTTATTGCGAATACCTCGGCCGTTACTTCTGCCAGTGCTGCCATGAGAACGCCCAGGTCATCGTTCCTGGCCGAGTGCTCAGGAAGTGGGACTTCAGCAAATACTATGTAAGCAACTTTGCCCGGGACCTGTTGAGCAAGATTGCCGGGGATCCTCTGTTTAACCCAAGTGACATCAACAGCGGCTTGTATAAGAAGATCAAATCTCTGGAGTCTGTCAGGGTGAGTTCAGTGACATTTTCCAGTGCTGATGTTTACAAAGATTCAGGAGTTACATGAACTTAAAGGAAACTTTTCTCGACTGCAAAACAGACTGGGAGAGGAGATGATTGCATCACCAAACTGTGAAACAACAAACTTGTGACTCGTTGCTGTTTGAGTAACAGGCTGGAATGAATGAAGCCATTCAGTCGTTATCAGCTGCAGTTAAAATGATGGAAAAATCTATGAATGCTGAAATAGCACCCAGCTTTACAGGGCAGCAGTGGGACTGAAAGATTCAACACAAAAGTACTTCTATTTTACAACTATTTTAATATTTTACAATGTCCTGATGAAATATTTTTTTTCTTTTAAATCACCACTAATGGTGTAGGTTACACTTTCATCCATAAATAAGCTTTTAAGTAGCATTTATGTGATTCCCTAAGACTTATTTAGTAATTATGTTGAAATAGAAAATGAAAAATCTCCATTTAAAAAAAAAAAGATTTATAATCTTAGGATGCAGGCATCATTAATGAATTATCTATGGATGTTAGAAGCAGTCACAGCCCCCCAGTCAGCTGACCAGATCTTATTTGAAGGAACTGAAGCAAAATTGGGACAAGGAGCCAGACTAACTTTGATGTTTTTACAGGGATTTCCATCAGCAGCTTTCAATGGTATCTAAACTTGTATTAGTTTTTCATTCAGTCGTTGTTCAGCTGATAGAATAAACTCTATGTTTGGGTACAATTTAGAAATAAGCAAGTTATGAACAAAGTCATGGTGAGGCCTGAAAAAATGTCTGCTTCTGATTTGAAATTAGTTAAAATCTATCAGCATCCTGACAGAACCAAAGAGCTCCATCATCCTTCATTTCAAATACTTTGGAACGTTTTCAGCTGAAACATCTTTGGCGCAGGACGTTTGTAGCTGGAAGAATGAAGTTATGCCACAAAGGCTACGTTCACACTGCAGGCCTTAATGCTCAATTCCGATTTTTTCGTGAAATCGGATTTTTTTGCGTGTCCGTTCACACTTCCAAGTATATGCGACTTGTATGTGATCTACTGTGTGAACTGAAAGCGTTCAACCGAAGTGTCCCACATGCGCACTCGAGGACGCGATGACGTCACATGTAGCAAGCGTCCTCAGTGTTTGCGGAAGTAAACATGACTCGTAATACCGTAGCGTATATTGCGTTCTTTAAGTTCTTCTCCAACAGGAGCAGGCACATTACGAACGGAATCTTTTTAAGAAGATCAAAAAGAAAGACCCTCCCCCGGTTCCGGTAAGACCCTTCGAGTTTGGTCTGAATCGAGCTATCTTTCCAAATATGAATTAAGTCAGCAACCTCACTTTCTCTCCATTGACTGCTCTCTGTGTTATCTTCCGCCATGGTTGTTAGTTTTTCCCGCCTCCGCTTAGTAGGACGCAGATTAGTAACGTTTAGTAACATTTGTCAAGTATCAATGACGTGTAGGTCGGATGAATGCGACCTGTCCGTACAGACACAGGTCGCATTTGAAAAGATCAGATACGTATCGGATTCAGGACCACATATCCAAGTGGCCTGGGTCGCATTTGAAAAAATCCGATCTGTGTCGTTCAGACTGTCATAAAAAGATCTGATACAGGTCACATATGGGCAAAAAAATCGGAATTGGGTCACTTCAGGCTGCAGTGTGAACATAGCCAAAGATCCCCCATCATCATCCTTCTCTACACAATCTGCTTGCAATGTATTCCTGTTTATGTTAACTGTAAGTTAGTTTTACATGCATGTGGAATGCTAAAGGTTTGTTACAGAAAAGCCCAGGCATTATAGAACAGCTGTAGTTTCCCAGTTTTCAGAACTTCTTCAGCTTTATTGATTAAATAGTGATGTTACGCTGAGAATAGAATATGTTGGTCTTAAATTATAATAAAACTGTCTTTGTTTTCTTAATCAAATCAGATTATTCAAGCTCTTTATTCACCACTGCTGCCATGATCCTCCACAGTCATCATTCTAGCCAACAAATGACACGGCAAAGGCTGATAACAGAGTTGGTGGATTGTTTGTATTCCTTCTCTTAGCCTTATACTAAAGGCTGATTTATTCTCAGAAACCAGGTCATCTGCGTGTGTCACAGTGAGTGCAAATGTGCCTCCGCCCCTTCCACAGACACTCTGGTGCCGCTCTCCAAAATTGTAGGAGGCCTCTGATTGGTCAAATCTCCATCCACTCTACACTATCCGTATTTTCTGTTTGGTACCTTACCAGCTTGTTTTGTTTGTATGACGCCATTGCGGAAAACGACTGGTGAAGATGGATAAGCTAAAAGAGTGAGGTGCTAAAGAACGCTGGGACCCTTTTTCCACCTGGATCCCCGCTCTTTTTCACCCTCATTCCCTCCGTTTTCGCACAAACTTGCCCCCACTTCCTCACCGCCTCGGCCGTATCTAGACCCACAGCTAGTTCAAGATTGTCCCTCTTGCATTTTGGCATGGAATAACAGATCATGCTTCAAAATTGAGCATAAATCACAAATATCTGCGACAAGCTCACTGCGACACATTGCTGCAGGAGGATAACCAGGCCATAAGACTTTACTAAAGTTTCTTTTTTTATTTTTAGTGCAACTCATACATTTTGCTGCTTGATCCTTTTAAATCCTGAATGTTTCTGTATTGTAAACTAGAAAAGTGTTCCTTACTTGCAAGGAAATAAGGTGTGAGCTAAACAAAGATGCATCAGTCTGAATGTAACTGATTTCTCTGATCTTGTAGAACTTTGACCCCCCCCCCCCCTTTACAGTAGGTAAAACTTATTTGAACAAATGACTGAGAGCCTGGGATTATTATTGAAGGGTTATAGTCTCACCAGTTGTTTAAAATTGATCCTAAAGCGACAACCAACATATATTTCTGGAAAATCCTTTTTCAAATTTAGGGCCAGAGGATTTTGACCCCCAAAAAAAATCAAAATAAGGATTTCATTTAATTTTCTCTAACCCTAAGAATACATTCATTGTATTCATGACCTTGTACAGAGCCTATTGTCACAGGGTTTTACTCTCACTGTTGTGTTCATGGGTTTCATGCTACTCTGTTTCCGTCTGAGTGGAATTTAACCCAATATAAGCATATAACTGCCAATTAGAGGGCTGTAATTAGAAAGTCTGTGTTAGTCTTATTAAATATAATGTGACCAGATTGATTGCCTCTGATAAAAACAAACATTTTGTTTAATTGCTATTATATCCCAAATGTAAATAATAGCCCATCCCTACTCAGAATGGCTCCTTACTGCCTTCATCTCCTCTGACTTCAGTCGTCCTTTAGTTTTGGGGGAAATTGCAAACATTGAGTTACCATCTTTAGTAATGGCTTCCCCACTGAGTGATGTGATGAACATCATCACTTTACTCTTTACTTACTGGTAGGGGTTGGATTTTTAAGTTTCCAACCATTTAATCCCTTTCTTCCATGTGTTATTTTTTCTCTGGATCACCTTTTTACTGACCTTCTTTTTTCCCCGTCAGGTTTTGAGGGTGCAGCTGTTTCACATGAAGAACCTCCTGAGGACCTGTCGGTTTGCCAAAGAGTACGTTCCTGGGTTGACATTTAGCAGAGTCTATGTGGGATGTGAACTGCTCACTGATTGGAGAATCACTGCTTTGCTTCTGCATCTTCCTTTAGGGTACTGGACCTTTTCGACAGCCTGCCTGGCCACCTGACCGAAGACCTTCATCTCTTCTCGCTCAACGATCTCTCTGCTGTTCGCAACGGCGAACTGGCTCCTCGAATGAAAGAGCTGCTGAAGCTTGGTACCGTGCATGTGGCCGGATGCGTGGTAAGACAGCTTCTGTTGACTCTTTCACTTTATTTTGTCGTCAAAAATGTGTTTTGATTTCTACAGTATGTCGTTTTTTTCCCCTCTCTTTCCTCTCAGCTGTGTCAGGCAAAGGGTTTTGTGTGCGAGTTCTGCAACAACGACAAAGACATCATCTTCCCCTTCCAGCTGAGCAAGTGCCAGCGCTGCGAAGGTGAGCCACCCCCAAGATCCCAGTCCTCCCGCATTCCCTTTCAACTAAACTGGAGAGACTGGAAGATCCCGAATCCCCGTAGACTGGCGAGGGCGCTCTCCAGAGACAGGAGAGAAGGGGAGGGAGGGGAGGAGGGCTTGCATTTGGGGATAGATCAGGGGGTAAAGAGTGGGGAGCAGGAGGAACCGAGGGAGGAGCCCAGCAATCTTTCCAATAGCGTAGAGACCAATTGGCCCCTAAGTTCTGGAAATACTGCAAATCTAGTTCCCTGGATTACAGGAAATGAGGAGCAGGAGGAGATGTCTGACAGAGAAGGTCAGGAAGAGAATGAATGTAAAGAAGGTGGAGATGAACCTGCAGGAATGGAAAGAGTGAGTTTTTTAAAGGTTCTGCAGATAGACAGATTAAAGCAAAGGATCGCGAAGCGAGACAGAAGTGATCATGAAACATGCAGCAGCTTTGAGAGTTTGGATGAAGGAGGACAGGAGGGGAAAGAATCCAATACGATGTCTGCAAAGACAAGTAAAGTAAAACATTTCTCGAAAAGAGATGGCGAGGAGCGAGGGAGAGAATCGAAAAAGGAATCTGGAACGAAAGGGTTCAGAATAAGATCACTGGTAAAATCAAAAGAGGAAGAGAAAGCTCAGACAGAGGGAGTGAAAGCTGAAAAGCATCCGGGCTTAAGGTTACTGAGGACACATCAGCTAACAGGTGTGTTCAGCAAAAGCACAGAAGAGAAGGAAGAAGAGAGCTGTGAAAGCGACGGGAAAATTAATACTGGCCGGGGGGGCACGGCGTGCGGAGCAGAGGCTAAGTGGAGAAGTAGAAAAACCCGTAAAGCCAGGAGAGTCACTAAAGAGAGGAAGAGGAGGCAGAGCGGAGGGGAGGAAGGGGGGACAACAGAGACTGATGCTGACAATCGTTCTGAAGGAGCTGGGGGTCAAGAGTAGAAAGTAAAGCTGAGCGATATTCCTGAATCTGGACACGGTAATAAAACCTGCTTTAAGTAAAAATGCAGTTTTACTCATGAATTTTCTATATTAGAATACAAAACAATGACAATAGAAACCTGGAGGCATAGAAATGGATCCTGAGTTTTTGAATTTTCGTTTATTTATTTATTTTTTTTAAGTTTTAAAGTTATCCATTTGAAATTATTTGGGTTTTTTTTGTAAAATTTTGTTGTATCTCTTCCCAATAGATATTTTTTTACAATATCAGCCTTTTTTTTGCAAAGATTATGTTGAGATGGTTCCATCATTTTCCTGTTCAATGCAAAGCTGCATCCTACTGCATGTTTATTTTGGAGAAATGCTTTTAAACTGGTCTGAAAGAAGCTTTGCAGCTACGGATATCCTGATGTAAAGGTTTGGCTTTTTGCTCCCAGTGTGAATGATTCTATAAAGCTAAACGCAGCCTCTCTGCACGACCTTATTAAAATTCTATGGGTAGGTTTATAACTGTAGGATCATCAGTATAGATCTACTTTATTTTGCATGTGCAATACTTGCATCCCTTTACAAGGAATGTTCTGGACAGAGAATGTTTGAAGGATATATGCAATATGCTTAAATATATTGCTAACAAAGTTGTAAATGTATTATTATAAAAAAAAACTCCTTCACCGAATGCAAATGTGAAAGGTTGCAGCTGTAAAATGGCAACATTTAATTTAACATTATGTGCTCTACCTACCCCTATTAATACCAAGATCAATTGACTAATGAAACACATCATCACATTGGCCTGTACAAAAAATTGTTTTTTGCTAATTTATAAATGAAAAAACAAATACCTTAGATAATTTTGGTGAATTTTCACCCCATAGTCATGCAAACGTCCCATCATTGCATCCCTGATGGCTACAGTGTTCAATAAGCTCACATCTTGCTCCTGGGTGTGATGTTTTCATGCAAAACAGTCCGAAGCTAACGCTAACATTACCTGCTGTGATTCTGCCTGTACGGCTGATGTTTCACTCACCTCAGGATGCTGTTTGCTTAAAACTGAAACCAACTTCCTCCTTTAGGAAGAGCGTTGAAATTTCACAGGTCCTTCAATATTACATAAATGGCTGAAGATGATGTCAGAGCAGTTCCTTGATCCCAACACACATGCATTATACAATGTAGTGCATGCGCTGCCTCATTCTTACAGGCTGTATGGGAGTCTTTCTCTTCTCTTCACTGGCTGTTTTCTGGGTTCCTGGTGTCGCTGTGCTGGTGTTGGTTTAGGCTCCTCATGTTGAACATCTGGTGGCGGGCAGATGGTGGTAGATATCTCAGTTTTGACTCTAGAGGGTGTCGTTCTAGTGTTTTCCTCTTTTTGCCTTTGAGCCATTGCCTTATTTAGAAAAAGAATGCTGCTTGATGTTACACAGGTTGTGCATCATCCTTCCTATGTTTATGGTTTTGAAACCACTTTGGTCCTGAATTTCTTCAGTTAATTTCTCCCCGTGTTTCTCAGTGGAGGATTAAAGTTTGTTCACTACCTTTGTTCCGTGGAGGACTTTTTTTATGTAAATGTAGTTTTTATTTACCACCTGTTGTTGCACATTTTGACTTTTGCTGTTGGTTCGCTTTTGATGTTTGTAGGACCGTTGGAAATGATTATTTATGCCTTGTACAGTTGTGCCTCTTATTTATATTTTTAACTTCATTTGAGCATGAAATAAACATGTTTTAAATTCACTTTTGAGTTTTGTTCACTTTTGAGTTTTGTCATCAATAATTTTTTTCATCTGATCATGTCATGGGATGCTGCGCTGGGTGAGGCTGCTGGTAAATATCAGGACAAGTCTAAACAGGTTTCATGGTGCAGCTCTGAGAGTGCGACTTGCTTCCTCCCATCTGCCTCGCTGCCTTTTCTCCGGGCCTTTTATACTCTCGCTCTCTCTCAGCTCTCCTTCTGATTGGCTCCTCTGCTTATGCAACATACACTATAGTTGGCAAACTGGTTAAACCTGTTTGCTGCTAAAGTGTTGCCTCTGCATGCCCTCTGAGGCGTGAACACCTTAATCATAAATGACAACCTTTCTTTTTTTCCCCCACCTCCTCCTTTTAGGGTGCCACGCCTGTTATCACCAAAACTGTTTCCGGACGGGTAAAGACTGCCCTCGGTGTCGGCGGCTGGCGGAACGCAGAGAGAGGATGGCGCGCAAAAACATGGAGGAGCAGGAGGATGAGGGAGGGGGGACCTAGCGCCGGCGGGGAGAGAACCTCAGGAAAGAAGAGGAGCACAAATCGACGATGATTGTAGACACTGACCTCCTTCTCGTCTCTCATTCCTCCCTGATCACCACAGGAAGCTATTTTTTTTGACCAGATCGCAACATGGAAGTTAAGTTTAGAGACGTATATTTTCAAAATAAACCCTAAGATGTGCACTTTATTTGACTAATGCTTGAAAAGTATAGAAACCAATATGCAAAACTAAAGAATAAAATAATATTAATAATAATAAAAATAAAATAAGACCTTTAATACTAACACATTAAGCCTGTATTTGAACATTTAGTTGCAGCTTTTACTGCTGCTCAAACATCTAACTTGAGTTTAATCATTCTTGATCTAAAGACAAAGTTTTATGGTTATTATGTTTGTCTGTCTCCTCCTTTTTACCAGCTATCCTCAGCAGTGCTGAATCATTCTTGCACAGATAGACCAGCTCTGGATGAGATATCAAACCTGCTGCCTTGCACACTTACATGATGCTAATGATTTTTGCAGTTTTCTGTGCAACATGAGCCAAAGACCACCATTAAAATGTCAGCACTTGTATGTTGTTATACTTCTCCTTCTTTTATACAAACTGGTAGGATAAATATTTTATTAGCTCAGATTTTTTTTTTTTTTTTGACACCTGTAATATTAGAATTATTTTATTTTTAAGAGTGACACTGGAAAATGAAAATTATAGGATTTATTTTTAGGATTTGACCAATAATTATTTGAATGATCTTGTCAGGTGCAGTTTTTTATTTTATTTTGATATTTAAAAGATTCACCCCTCTGCTTTTTTTTATTTTTATTTTTTTATATCCATATGTTTCAGATTTTTTTTTGCCTTTTTTTGTTAGAATGAAGATTTAATGGAAAAGATGTTGGAGTCTAAGCAAAGCCGAGTTCATTCTCAGTCAAACTGCTAATGATCAGTTGGTGTGTGCTGACTAACGTGGACTTTATACGAGTGCTGCTGAGATTATCTACCTGCTGTCCTTGCTGGCTTCTTTTGTTGCAGCTTAAAGATAACAGCGTCTTTGGTTTATTGCACTGATCCTGTGTTTTGGACAGTGGAGTTGATTCTTCAATGTTCTCCTTCTGTTTGTTTTAAAAGTATGAACCTTTGACTTGAAATGTTACTGCCCTTAATGATTTCATCTGAGATTTTCTGCCTGAATTTCTAGTTTCATTCACAGTATTTCATACTTTAGCGCTCATTTAAAAGTCCCAGAGGATAAAGGGATGCTGACTGGAGATTAAGCAACTCCATTTGGTTAAAGATAATAGTTTAAGTAACTAAATGCTTTTTGTTTAACATCTGTTTTTGCTCTTCACAATAGGCATCTCATAAAAGGTTTTCAGATGCATCTTTTGTGCACCAATATAAATTACGTTTATTTTTTTCAATTTAAAAATGCTAATATGTCCCGTTATCCTAAATTTTCGAAACAAACATTTTGTTACCGGGTCAGTCTCCTTTTAACTCGGCTCTTTGATATGAACCCAGTCAATATTAATGCACTTAAATTTTCAGTTTTTTGCAAAAAATCCCCTTGAAGTCTTCAGTTAAAAGTTTTAAATAAGCCCCCCAGCTCCTCTGATCAGCTTTGTCTTGGACCTGCCTTTTATTAAAGGAGTGAAGAGGTTTAAAGTGCACTACAGAGTTAAAATGTTTATATTAAATGTAAGTTATTGTTATTCTTAACCCTGATTGCTTTGCATCTGTAATTATGTTCAATAAATGACTGGCAAGACTGTTAAACTGGTGATACTGAGTGGTTTTTTGGGAATTTTATTTATTTTATGTTTTTATTCATAGTAATTCCATTTTGTTTTGTTTTTAATGTTTAAAAACAAATTCAGTCTAAAGTACAGCAGTCCATGGCTATATCTTATATTTGATGTCTGGCTGCTTGGCTTTGTTTTTTTATTAAAGTACTTTAATAATCGTTTTAACATAAGACTAAAGTTGTACATTGTATTTACCTCTGGGTATTATTGTATAGTACGGTACATTGTATTATACACTGGGCAGCTTGTTTTGTAGACAATTGTGCCCTCTAGTGGTGGCAAAGGTACTTTTAAAGTATATTTCATTAATCTGACATATAACGTAATTCTACATACAGACAGAGATGGGAAGTAACGAAGTACAAATACTTCGTTACTGTACTCAAGTAGATTTTTCTGATATTTTTACTTTACTACTTATTTTTATGGGGACTTTTTACTTCTACTCCTTACAATTTACACACATATCTGTACTTTCTACTTACAGATTCGGCGGTATTCATTCGCGGCAAATCATTGCAGCTTGGTGGCGGTGGCGTTAGCATAGTAGTATGGACGACGAGATGATTGAAAATGAACACAACGGAGATCTAGTCCTATTGGCAGACATCCATTTAAAATGTAGGCAACGGCATGAAAAAAGTGGTTTCTACTTTTACTTTTATACTTTAAGTAAATTTACAAGCCTGTACTTTGTTACTTTTACTTGAGTAAAGAAGTTTAATCAGTACTTCCACTTTTACCAGAGTATTTTTTAACACAAATATTTGTACTTTTACTCAAGTACGGAAAGTGAGTACTTTTGCCATCTCTGCATACAGATAAGCCTAAAGTCATTCTTTACATATGTGTGTAATTCTTTTTTGTTTTGTAATATGACTAATGTATTTCTTCTAAAATAAAGTGCTATAATTGTTTTGGAGGGACCCCTATGCAGTCCTATTATTGCAGGAGAGAAACTGAAGGGGAACAAAACATTTGGGTGATGGTAAAGAGGCGTTCCTAATATATAAAAAAAAGGACCCTGTAGCTCATCGCAGATGAATAGTATGGATGAAAACAAAAAAAGTGATTTTTTTTTTTTTTTTTTTGAGAGAGATGGCAGTATGTTTCCTAATAAAAACAGACCTACTGTGTAAGAAATACAGTCAACCAAAATTAGCCCCCTTAGGCTTTACTGTATACTTCTAAAAGTTTTTTTTATCCAACACTGATACTTCATACATTAAAAAAATAACAGACTGGAGGATATTTATGTAATTTTTGGCATTATCCTCTTTAGTGTGTTAATAGAACAGTCAGTTGAAAGTAATCTTAACGATAAAACATTTACTTTAGTTAGTAATTCTTTAAGAAAACAAAAAACAAGTACAGTGGATTAATCAGGACAAGCAGCCATAGGTTAGCAGGAGGATTACACAGGTCCTAAAGTACTAGAAATGCTTCTTTGGATTCAGGTCTGATTGGATCTATATCCTGTCCAACCTTTCTGTAATTAAGGAGTTGTGGTGGTTCACGTTTTAAGCCGAAAAGCTTCTTGCCAATGCAAAAGACCCTATTTGCATGGAGGGTTTTATGTTTTTTCTGTAACCCCAATGAAAATATTTCTCTTTAATTCAAAGTCAGCAAATCCAGCTTTGCACAGGCGAGCTTGCCAATCCTGTCTGAAACAAATTGTTTTACTAAATGCTTTACATGTACCAAGATTGTACTTGAAAATTCTGCATGTCATTCAGCAGAGCAAATCCATCCTTTTTCAGCATTTGATTTTATTTTGAAACCATGAGGAGATAAGCTCCTCTGTTTGGAAGGAGGTGATAAACCTTCCTGTTAGAAAAATGTTAATGTCATAATTTTATTTGCATGAACCTACAGGCATTTGGTCTGCTAGGAATGTTCTGTCGTTTTAACTTCAAACGGGGAGAACAAATGGTTCTTCTAGAAAAAGAAAAGTCAAGCTCTATCCAGTCGTGTGGTTGCAGCTGACTAATCATCACCTGCACTAAAACTGCACAAAGAACTGTCCAGTTTTATCATGTGTAAACCTCTGATCCCTCCTGAGAACCTCTGACCCCTCCTCTTGCTCCCTTGCAGTCCGATAGTAAAAGCAGCAGAAAGAGAGGTCCCGGCAGAGTTGACTACAGACTTTTCAAGTGGTCTCTCTCCTTTTCTGCAGAAAAGTCATTTGCTTTTTGTTGGTTTTCATTTCTAGGGCAATACAGTGTTATTATCATTAATCCTATCACTTGCTAAAAGACCAAAGAAAGTTTGGGTAGTTAGATAATCCAGTATATTACTGCATTGACTGCAGGGAAACGCCAAGGATGTTTATTTATCTCTCTGTGCTTTAAAATTATGAGTCACAACAGGACCAGGGGCGTAGCCAGAAAATCCTATTAAGGGGTGCCCGAAAGGCACCAGGACCTCAGGGTCAATCTACACCCTTCCAACAGGAACAAACAACCATATTTTCTAAATAAAGACAAACTAGACTTTCCTGCAGCCTTTGCTAACAAATAGATGCATATATTTAAACATCCATGCTGTGTAAATAAAAGGTATATTGGACAAAATTCTTTCAGGTTTGAGTTCTTGGGAGAACATATTTTACATTGTCATTAACTACTTTTATCAATAATCATTCTGCAAAAAAATATATTTAAATCTACTAATATCTACTGATTTTTAAGTTATTATTAAAGTTTTTATCTATGATTTCGCTGAAGACTCCTAGATGTATTGCAGAGGCACATAATTTTATCTTTACCCCAAATAATTCAAAATTTAGTTCTGAAAAGAGCATGAATTCTGTATCTATCATCTTTAATTTTTGTATATAGATGTGCATAATTAACCACAGTGTTTCTGTTGTCAAGTAGTTGTTAATATATGAAAATTTTAAATGATTAATGAGTTTGAACATTCCCCTTCAGAGTATTACTGCTGCCACCGTCTGTGTTAGAGGCCATAAAAAAAAAATAAAAATGCCCACACATCTAGCCCCCCATCTAGCTCCGCCCCGGAACAGCACATGAAAGCAATGCTGCCTTTTCTAATATTTCTATTTTAGGCACAGACTCAGCTTTCTTCACTACTACCAGGCATTGGTTATGTGAAGCACAGTAACCTGAAGGATTTCTGGCAAAATGTCATCCTCCAAGAATCGAGTGCTAAATGTGGCTACTTGTAGCCATTAGAAAAATCTTTAAACATTTTTTTTTTGTCAAAGTATGTTTATTTAATGGGCTTTCTGCATGGAGTTTTCTCCCTGAGCATGTGTGGGTTCTCTCCGGGTACTCCGGCTTCCTCCCACAGCTCAAAAACATGACTGTTAGGTTAATTGGCCTTTCTAAATTCTCCTTAGGTGTGAGTGTGTGCATGAATGGTTGTTTATCCTGTTTGCCTCTTTGTTGCCCTGCGATGGACTGGCGACCTGTCCAGGGTGAACCCCGCCTCTCGCCCATAGACAGCTGGAGATAGGCACCAGCACCCCTCGCAACCCCGCTTGGGATAAGCGTTTTGGAAAATGGATGGATGTTCATTTCATTTCTTTTCTCCAGGATTAATTTTATTGTTCGCCCGTAGTTAGAAAACAAGAGTTTACTGCCGTGTTTGTAAAATCTTTCAGATAAAGAAATGAATTTTGTCTCATGTTTTCAAGTTTATCTGTGACTGCATCCGTTCATTAAACACTTTATTACTTTTTTTCAGCATTTAAGGTATACTATTTCTAATGTACTGAAATAAAAAAGTACAGGAATCCACAGAGATACACAAAAAGAGCACAAAAAAATGGACATTTAAAAAAGATAATCTATAATTATTTTACATAAATTCATAAACATAGTTTTGGCATTATGCAGATACATTGAAACATTTAGTTGTGTTTTAGTGCTCCATAGAAGTAGCAATGCTTCTACCTTATAAAATGGAGCTGAATTCTGTGCAACTTCACTTTAGTTAAAGGTATATTGGAGGATTTTCGCGAATTTTTGAAAAGACCCTGCCTCTCCACTTGGAAAAAAAAAAAAGCACATGTACAACCCCGTACCCGCCTCTGAGAGGGAACGCCTATTAAACGAGGAGCATGTTTCTCCTCGTGCACGCTCTGTTTAAAAGTTGCTGTTAGCATCGCTCATACAAGCTTTCTTTCCAAAAAAAGATTTTTAATTTTTCCGCTATGTCAGACTCATCACAGGTAAGTGAAAATTGGGGGCAATCATGTTGGACGGCCTTACAAAAACACATCACCAGAATGATTGACAATTAGGAGGACCACTTATTTTGATGATCCACCTGGAAAAAGAACATCCTCCACTATACCTTTAAGCTGAAATATATTTTGATTTCTTTTTAAAACTGCCCCCATCTCCCATACACTCTCAATTAAAAAACAGAACTATCAAATGTTTATGTTTTTATTCCTTCAAACCTAAATCATGCAGTGTGTGTATCATTCCATGTCCAGATCACGATGACGGTGATGAAGCTCGTAACAATGAGGAGGATATAAAAGCAGAACAGCAGACGGTCTATTACTATTCCAATCATTTTCCATTCCTCAGCGCTTTTGGATCCCTGGAAATGTTTGTCCACCTGGAGACGGATGGCTGTAAGATCTCTGGTCAGCTTCCTCAGCTCGTCGAGAGTTGGGTCTGGTGCGGCAGCAGGGGGGTTGGAGGCCACCACTGGCAGGGGGTCCTTAAAGATACTCTGATCTCCCAAGACAGTTATTGAGTTCTTATCTGTTGTTGGATCTGCTGAAACAAGAAGATTTCTGATCATGAACCCCAAAAGGACAAATAATAACATATTCTAAGGACTAATGTTCACAACCATTTTTCACAAGTTAAGAAAATACTTCTTCTTTGTAAAGAAAACCAACAAACCAAAAAAAACAGTATTATGATTTTGAAACACAAATATTACACTTTTTCATTTGGATTAAAGTGTTCTGCAATTTCTAAAGGGACTATTGTTTTGTGTGGAACATATAACCTGTCAGAAAAAGTCGACTAGAACTAAAACTTCAAATGAATTATTAAGTTAAGTCTTTAATGCTTCAAACAGTCTGACATAACTAATGTACATCCATCTAATTTTGGGTAATCCTTGCCTGTTTTGCATACCCAAATTACATTATTGGAAAGCTAGAACCATCTAGTTTCTGAATATATAAATTACAATTGGGTGAGTAGAACACAGACTAAGCTGCATCAGTTCAAACATGACTCAAAGTTGTTTTTTTTTATCCTCGGAAATGATAGGTCTTTTTTAAACAGCAGTAATAAAGACATTCTTGAAAAAAAAGCAGGTTTTATTGTATTATATTTGTTCTACATTATGTTAACCACAAATGCAGACAATTTCAGACCTCTAGGTATAATAGATCCAGGGCTGTGGGGTTTG